ATAAGATAACCTTATCTGTGAAATTTTGATGTTTACAACAGATAATATTCTTCAATTATATAAACTCCGACCACAACTGAAACTTTCAGTTGATACATGTGCATTTTGTTATTAGGTATTATTTCATTACTCAAATCAAACTTAATGATTATTTGATTAAAGGAATGAAGTAATAATAACGCAGTGCGCATGCATCATCAGAGAGCTTTGGTTGTATTAGGGGTATATTTAATTATAGAATATGATTTGCAGTAATAATAATCATACATTATTTACTTAAAAGATTGCAAATCTAATATACAAGATACATAAGACATTAACACACTCTTAGCGATATGCGATCTCCGCCTACTGTGTTATAAATACTGTTGAGTACTTGTTATTTATTATTTTTAGTTATTTGTAAAATATCTCATCCTAACAAATATATCTAAACAGTATACATAATTTTTCAGTTTATAAAAAACATTACAAGGAAATAAAAAGCGACTAAAACATTACAACTGATTTGATTTAAACTACCATTATCAAAAATCTTCGCTTTAATTGAAGTATTTTAGGTTATAGTTGGTTATAAAATCAGATTAAACATATTTTTTTGCTGCTATCAAAATATTAATGTATTGTTTTTTTTTTTTGCCTTTAAAACAACGAATCAAGAAGAAAGATATATTTCCCTTTCTCGGTTGGAAGAAACTTCCGGTTTTGTGATGACCCATTTAATAAATTTGAAAAATTGATTTGCCGTCTTATTTGAGTACTTTCCTATGAATTTTATAAGGGTTGTTCATTATTTGCGAGGGATGTCAGTAATACGGATTTAATAAAATATAGCACCTCTATAAACGCCCCGGTATTTAACAAAAAATTTAAAAAAAAAAAAAAAGATTAAATGCTGTAACCAAGTTATGAAGATTTTTATTGATATAACTATTTCAACAGCTCTGTTTATATTATTTTGATAACTTCTAATATTATTAGTTTGTTTTATAAATAATCTAATAATTTCATTGAAAAGTTTTTAGAAGATCAGTAATTAGTTATTTTCAGCAATAAACTTTTATATTTTGTTTGTCTGACTATAACTCTACACAGCTTACAAAAGATCTGATCTATTATTATAATAACTGATAAATTAAACAAATTAAATTAATTTGGAGTGTTTGTTTACTGCTAGTAAGTAAACACTCCAAATTAGTAAGTAATTTAGTTTTTAATTTTATAATTACTAACAATACAATAAATCGCAAGAATTTCACTTAAAGTTCTAATTATATAAAACATAAAAAACTATAAAAAATGTTGGAATAAATTTTATTATTGTAACTATATAATTACTTTAAAATAGGGTTTGTTTGTTTTTCAACTATCTACATTATAAATAATGATAAATAGTATTAATACTATTTAATTAATAAATTAACGGATTAATTTTGCGCGAATAATGACAACATGTTTTTTATGTTTGAGTAATGACAAAACATATTTTAAAAGGGATACTCTTAGAAATTGGGTTCTTCTTTTTAATAAGGAAGCACTGTATAGTTTTTAATAAGACGATTTTTATCTTTTATTTTTGCTGATGATTTTTTTTACAACAAGAAGGCAACAAAAATCTTTTCCTATTTGAATTTTTAACGCTTCTTTTAATCTAAACCACAACATTTTGGTGTCTCAACCAATTTGGTTAACAACAACATTAGAGGCACAGTCAAAGCCAAAAGGTTTTGATGACTAAAAATATGTAA